ACTATTGGTAGTATAATTATTCTGTATTTTGCACTGTAAACAAAAATAAATGTAATAAAGATAAAAAACACGTGTTTCTTATAGAAACGAAATTAAATTTATGCGAGAATAGTAAAGGTGTTTTTTTCCACTTCATTGCATTTGATTATTTAGGTTTGATTATAAATATGTGACTATAAAACATCATTTATGGCTTGATAAGAAATTGTCATTGCTGTTTACCCAACTATAAACACTACCTATATAATTTTGTTTACATTTGAATAATAATTATAATATATGAATTCAACTTCAAATTCTAATTTATAACAAGTAGCACAATGGCGAATACTAATGTTGATATTGAGAAATATATTCGTACTTTTGATGATTTGTATGGAGAAATACAAAAATCAAAAGATAATGAAAAAAATGATATAATATTAACAGTCTTACCTGTCATCAACAGAATACCTAATGCAATGTTAATCAATTTAGTTGATCATAAAATATTTGTAGAAATAAGATCAAAATTAATTGATTTATTAGATAAATGGTTTATGAATGGATTAAATGAAGATGATACTGAAATTTTCGATTTAATAATTGAAGAATTTGCATTGGAATATCGTACTTGGAAATGTGATCTACGAAATGAAGAAATATATAATAAATTATTATTTTATTCTCCATTATTAAACGTAATAAAAACAAATATTGATAATATATCATTGAAACCATCGAATGATAGAGTTCTATGTATTTTCAACACATTAGTATATAGATTAATATATTTATCAGATGTTTTTAATGACAACAAAAGCAATATGCTTAAACCAATATTTGATTCTATAATGGAACTTGTAACGAAGAATGATAGTAGTGAAAAAGATAATTTTATTTTAACATATTACACACGTTTTATTACATTTGATGGTTACCTTGAAAAAGCACTTATAGGTGATGATATTATTGATGCTATTATACAAGTGCCTTATAATATACTACGTAGTCAATGTCTAATAGGACATAAATTATTTCCAAAAATCATATCAATATTAACAAATTTATTTGATAAATGGTTAACATTAAATGAACATGATAAATTAATTTGTTCAAAAATAATCGATATATTCAAAATAACATATTATGGATGTCTCTCTGGTGGATTAAACATGATATTAAATCGTTCAACATTAATAAATACAATAAAAATATGTTTAGAAAATAGTTTAAAAATAAA